ACTTTTTCAAAGAGAATTTTCACCATACCTATTATCTAGTTACCCTAGGTAAAGTTTATATTTAAAAAAGGGATAAATCCTTGAGTCTTTCTCTTTACTTATCAGGTGGTTTTTTGTTTGTTTGTTTGTTTGCTGGATTGTTGTTGTTTTTTAATCTTCACCTGGGAATATTTTTCCCATTGATTTTTTTCTTTAAGAAAGAGAATGGAAGGGAGGCGGGGGGGGGGGAGAGTGAGAGAAAGCTCGATGTGAGAGAGACACATTGATTGGTTGCCTCCCATTGGCATCCTAACTAGGCCGAGATTTAGCCTGCAACCCAGGTATGCATCCTTGACCAGGAATCAATCTGCAACCCTCTGATCTGCAGGCCAATGCTCTAAACACTGAGAAAACTAGTTAAGGCTACTTATCAGGGTTTTTTGTTGTTTTGTTTTGTTTCGTTTTTAAAGAATGCATTTGCTAGAATCCTTCAAGAGTTTCTCCTAAGGTAGGTGTGTGTGTGTGTGTGTGTGTGTGTGTGTGTGTGTGTGTTGGATCAATATGAACTCAGGAATTTAAAAATAGTTTGTCTTAATCCATTACAGTTATTTCCCTTATTGAAACCCAAATTGTGCCATTTTTAACCAGAGGAAAGCTCTTCACATTGGCCCCTGAGCCTTTCTTGATCTTCGCTATGAAGATATTCCATTTTGTCTTAAAAATGTTTGCCCCAGGCCAAAATGAACCATTTTTAACCAGAGGAAAGCTCTTCACATTGGCCCCTGAGCCTTTCTTGATCTCCGCTATGAAAATATTCCATTTTGTTTTTAAAATGTTTGCCCCAGGCCAAAATGAGCCATTTCTGTAAGAAACCCTGCTTTCTTATAGTTGAAAGTGGTACTTCAAAACCAAAACCTGGGTTCTAGGGATCCTTATCACTACCAGCTGATCCAGGTATTGTTATTTGAAAAACTTACAAAACAAAGTTAAAATTCACTTCCTAGTTATGGGCAGAAATCTCTAATGGGCACTCTTCTCTTGAAAAGTTTACCACTGACTTCCTAGCAAATTCAACCTGCTGCTCTCTGGGAGAACCATTTCACACATCCTTTCTCCTCACTTCTCAGGGGACAAGCAAATCTTACATTTCAAACAGAAATAGATGCAGTCAGGTGAAAACCACCTCATTTTTCTAATATTTTCCCACTTTTGTAATATTTTTCCACTAACCATCTTCCCCTTTTAAAAAATAAACTTTATTTTTTAGAGCAGTTTTAGGCTCACAGCAAAGCAGGACATGGTACAAAGATTTCCTATATACTCCCTGCTCCCTCACATATACTCTCTTCTGGCCAACGTTCTCCACCAGAATGGTGTGTTTGTTACAACCGATGAATCTACAGCTGACACACATTATCACCCAGAGTACATAGTTCACATTAATGTTCATTCTTTGAGTTGTACATCCTATGGGCTTAGAAAATTTACAAAGACATCCTATATAATAAAAGGCTAATATGCAAATAGACCGAACAGCAGAACAACCAAACAACTGTTTGCTTTAATGTGTGCTGAGCACCAGGGGGCGTACAAGAAACATGGCAGGTGTTGGTCGCGGCAGGATGGTGGAGCAGGTGAGCTGAGGCACCAGACCAAGGCAGGATGCTGGTTGCTGTCATTGGGGTGTGCCTCTGGTTGTTACTGAAAAATCTTTGCTCCAATGAGCCGCAGTCCTGCCTGGCACTCGCACCTGCTGCTGGCACCGGCCCTGCTCGCATCAAAGCCAGAGCCTGCCCTGCTCGCACCAGGTGCTGGTGCCTGGCGCCAGTTCCAATCACTCAGCACCATCAGTGGGTGTGAGTGTCAGATCCAGGCCCTGATTGCCCCAGAGGGCTTCTCCACCTCCCATGCTCCTGAGGGGCCAGCCCACTTGCACCCACTGCTGGCGCTGGCCCAAATCGCTCTGCACCATCAGCAGGTGCAAGTGGGGCTGGCACTGTGAGTGCATAGGAGCAGCGATGGCAGGAACAAGACTGAAGGCAGGCAGAGGATGGGGGGCTGAAGCTGGAGGGGCCCGGTGGGGACACGGACAACGGTCCAAGACCCATCCCTGTGCCCACCGCAGCCTCGCAGCCCACAGTTCCTTTCAGGGTGCACAGGGCCCCTACTGTTGCTATAAACATTCCTTCACATGTTTGTGTGTTTAAGGCTTGAACTCATTTGGGAAAATACAACAGCACCTCTAATAAAATTGTTTAGTTCAATATCCATTCCCAGCCAGGGCCACTGTATATGTAGAGTTTGCACGTTCTACTCCTACTGCTGTCCCCCTTCCGTTCCACACACATACTGTATATACACACAAAGCAGCGATGTACTTAAGTAAAGAGACTATCCGTTTTGCTCACATTTTTATCCCTAATGCCTATAAGTACGCAGGCACATAGTATGTGTTCAACACTGTGCTTTGACTTCAGTATTGTAAAATAAGGCTTCTACATTCCTTTTTTTTTTTTAAGTTCAGAAAATATGAAATAAAGCCAGACTTAGTATGACTTATTAAGTAACCAAAAATTATATGATAATAGTAAGTGCTACAGGCAGATTACTGATGACTGTCAGACTCAACAAAAATATTAATTTATCAAGTTGGCACTAAACTATATCCTTTCCTGTTTTTTCACTGTTCCATGTGAATTTATTTTGTTTCCCAAAATGATTATAAGCTCCTTATAATATATATATTTCTTTTGGATCCCTGTTAATATCCAACTCTGCAATCAAAAGATCTCAATAAATAATTGCAAAATTAGAAGGAAATGTACTTGGACTTTTTAAAATAAGGCATTTTTGTTGAATTATCTAAGATGTTCTTGGCAGTATAACATTAAATAATATTCTTGGAAACTTGTTAGTTAGCCAAGGTTTTCTAAGTAACACTGGTCTGAGAGAACAGTATCATTTTTTAAAATAAGAAGAGCACAGAATGATATTAAATTTTATATCAATTAAATGCCATTATGTAAAGATATGAGTACAACTTCAGTGAGAGAGCAATTTGACCATCTGTAATTTCTTGCTCTGGTTAGAGATTCATTTGTGGTAAAAATGCTTACTCTCAGAGAGACCTCAACAAATTAAGGATCTGCAATGTCCCACCAAAGTCAAGCATTTTGAGGGAACAATTTTCAAAACTTCCGAAATGCTACTTTGATCAGAAACCTATTGAGATATCCGAAAACGTTTCAGCACAGTAAAGACTCATATTCATAGAGCTGAATTTGAAATGTTAATTTTCAATATGTACATATGGTTATAAAATGAAATGTTTAGACAATAAAGTTATTTATCAATGATATTTTAATATTTAATTTTAAAATGTGGGCATGTGTTTGTTATTTTATTCAGTAGGTTTTAATCTGTAGCAAACATATAGTTGATGCTCAAAATATTCCAGCTTTTGCCCCAGTGGGATCCACTTGAAGAGAGTGTGTATGTCTTTTGCCCGGACCCCATCATTCTTTGAGCCTTTTCTTACTTTCTGGTACAAGATGCTGTAGGCTCATCTTTTACTTATCCGGGTCCATCCCTAGAAGCAGCAGTTTCTCTAAGGAGTCTGGTTCCTTTTTAGTAGAGAATCGAATTTAGAGCGGAATGCTAGGTGTGCTCATTGTTCCTGCAGTGTTACCGTTCCCAGGCCAACTCAATGGACACAGCTAGAGAATATATGTATGTGCATACATAGTTTGTGTGCATGTGAGTGTGTATGTACAATACATACACATATATGTATTATATTTACTTCTATATCTACCCATCTCCTATCTACACATTACAAACCATAAGTTCACATTAATACTTCCAATTCTAATTCAATGGCACAAGATTTATTCTAGTGTTCTTCCTTCAGTTTCCACATTTGTAACAACTTTCTCTAACAGTGGGAAACCTAGCTCCTATTGTGCTCTATCTATCTATCTATCTATCTATCTATCTATCTATCTATCTATCATCTATCTATTAGATCAGTCCTCTTTGTGTAAAACTAGTCTTGTCCCCTCCCTGTGTGGACACCCCACTCACTTCACTAAGGCTCCAATCTCTAACGCAGGTGCCCTCCTCACCCCACTGGGTGCCCAACACCTGGCACCCCCTCCCTTCCTCTTGCTTGGCTCTCATCTCGAGTCAGACTGCCCTCCTGCGTGGGTGTTCCTAACACCACCCAGGCTCCAAAACTCCATGCTAGGTCCCAGTCCTTTCGATCAGAGACGGAAGGACCACGACGCAGACAGAGGGTACGGCCTGACTGCTGCTGGAGACTCTGAGGAACACAGAAGCCTAGTGCTGGATGTGCAAAAGGAAGCTACCACTATCTCCTGCTGCGGGAGAAATACCAAACTTGACCGCATCGTCACAAACCAAGGATGTTTATCTCTTTGCTTATCATACTTGTGGAAACTAATTTCCTAATTTTTTATCTTTCATTTGTTGTTTTCCCTTTACATAAAGTGAAACAAACTGATTTTCAAGCTTTCAGATTTCTTAAACACCAAACTCTGCCTTAACAATTGTTTTACCTTTTTTTTTTAAAGATTTGATTCAATTTCTTAAATGTACATAAAACTTCAGTATAGTCTGTGATGTGAGAATCTAGTATCCCATTTCACACTTTCTCAAACATCACACTTCTGGTATAACTACATTTTGACCTCATTAATGACCCCTGTCTTTAAACACCTGCTTTTATAGTTTTTATTACAAGTTACCTGTTTATCCTGAGTTTCCTTTTTAAAAAATTATTGTTTTTTTTATAGAGAGGAAGGGAGAGGGAGAGAGAGTTAGGAACATCGATGAGAGAGAAACATCAATCAGCTGCTTCCTGCACGTCCCCTACTGGGGATGTGCCCACAACCAAGGTACATGCCCTTGACCTGAATCAAACCTGGAACCCTTCAGCCTGCAGGCTAACTCTCTACTCACTGAGCCAAACCCGTTAGGGCTGAATTTCCTATTTTATTCAGTTAGATTTTGTCCATTGTGCCAATCATTCTTAATCCCATTGCCTTTTTCTGTTTCCATCACACCCTTTCTGAAAACCTCCAAATCTAAATCAACCCATCTGAAAAAATAAAAATAATAAATAAATAAATAAATAAATAAATAAATAAACCCATCTGCCTTCTCTTTTCCTCAATCCCTACCATAGAATGATGCTTGAAGAAGGTACTTCACCAGGTGTGTTAGCTCCATTAAAACCTCACCGTCTCGCCAGTGTTGGCAAAGTCCTCACACCTTTTCTCACTCTGAAGAAAACACAGAGACTTTCAGCTTCTAGCTATCCACCTATAAACATCCTTCCAGCCCTGCCAGTGTAGCTCAGTAGCTCAGAGTCAAACCATGAACCTAGAAGGTCACAGTTCAATTTCCCATCAGAACACAAGCCCCAACTGCAGGCTTGATCTCTGAGAGGGGGTATTCAGGAGACACTGATCGGTATTTCTTTCCCATGGATGTTTCTATCTCTCTCTCCCTCTCCCTGTTTTCTCTCTGAAATCAATAAAAAACGTATTTAAAAAAAACACTTACACTACTCATTAGTGAATAAGTGTCAGTATCTCTGCTCTCTTATCCAGTTTATCCTCATGCCGACATTAGCCAATTCTTAGTCTTCTTCACAGTCTTTGTTTCTGTTTAACCCTTAGATGCTGGCATTCTCCAGGTTCAAAAAAAATTCTTTTTCACCCTAACGGATGAATAGTGAAGGCCTAGGAACTCCGCTTTTACTGTCTCTCTTGGACTCATTTTTAAAGTCCACTTAGTTGGGGCTTCTGCTGAATGTCTAATCTTTTAGCTTGTTCTAATTTTTTGACGCCATTCTTGTTCTTGCCATTTGATCAATTCAGCCTGGGAACTATCCAGTTGCCAACTCTGGATGATCTTTTAAGGTTTCACTTAGGCATCCCTCCAATTGCTCTAACTCCTCTGCACTGATAGGCTAGCTCCTAACTGCTTATCAGAGGGAGTGCAGTGTTACGTCCTCTTGGAAATATTTCCTGACCCACACTTAAGCTGAGTTGGAATCTCTCTGTAATCCCACAGAATCTAGCTATTTTTCTAATATAACATTTAGCATGTGGCCATATATTTTACCTTCTTATATATCTGTCTTTCTTTTTGCTGATCTTTACTTTTGAAGTCTATTTTTGCAGACTAGCTTCTCTAAACCCAAAATTAGTGACCAAACTATTCAACCAATTAGTCTCATGTTCTTTGCTAATATTGAAGAAAACTGACAGAGAGCCAAACTGATAGAATTATAAAAATAGATCTTTATTAATACCTAAAATAAAAATAAAAACCCAACCTGCTGCTTACTTATAGGAATTATCTCTAGGTAGGTTTTTTCCCCCCTTTTCGGTGAAAGAAAATTCACTGATAGAAAAATGTAAGCCATCTGGGTTATATACTGCCAAATACTAGTACAATTTAAGCAAATTCCTCTGAAGTGAGGCTTCTTTTGCTAAGAAACTGATCCCTCTAATTCCTGCACTATAAACCAAATAACACCCATTCTCCCTCAGATTTAGATAATTCCCACACAAATTCAAATTTATTCTAAGACTAGAAATCTGTCATTAGTTTCCTTTAAGTCTAGTGTAACTGAGAAGTATGCTTTCATATCGAAGTATGCTTTCGTCATATCAATAATTGGGGGAAATTAAAGGATAAAGTTAAACAGCAATAACTGGATTCATAATAGAGTTATCAGGCTACTTCCTTTGGGAAGTTGTGCCTAATTCCCAGTCTGTCAGGGTAGAGGCTCTCCTATGTTTCCATACCAACTGTACTGTTCTATTATAAATTTAGCACACATTATTATCGCTGCTTGCTTATTGTTTGTCTCCTCCATTAGACTGCATACTTCATGAGGCAAACTATTATGTCTGTTTTGTTCATTATTTTATTACAACTAGAGGCCTGATGCATGATACTTGTGCAGGGAGCTCAGCCTTCGCAGCCTCGGAGGCTTGCCTGGGCCCTTATAGCCCAATCTTTGTCCAGAAGGTCATCTGGTCTAATTAGCATATTATGCTTTTTTTTCCTTTTTTTAAATTTTATTTTATTATAGATGACCTAAAACAATGCTTGGCACTTAATAGCTGAGGCAGATTAAAGATGACCACAGATTCTTTTGACACTCTTTCCATAGAAAGTGGGGTCTATGTCCTGTCCTTGATTCTGGATGACCTCTGTAACTGCTTTGATCAACAGAACACAGCAGAAGTAACAATGTGCTCATTTCCAACCAATCCATAAGAAACCAAGGTTCCACTTCCTGTATCTTAGAACACTTGCTCTTAGAGTACCAAAACTAATGAGTATTGGCTGAGAAGATTCAAGAAATGCATGAATAGTTTTGAATGAATCAATTTCCAGATATTTACCTTCCATCTCTCTCTTTCCTAAAATTGATGTAAGACCTGGTGTGGTTCCCTAAAGACGAATCCACTCATGTAGATCCTCCATTCCCTATCTCATTTCACACTAGACCTTCTAGTTTATGAAAGAAAGACATCAAATTACCTATCCTGAATTTTACTATACAAATCCTTTGGGATTTCACTGAATTTACTGAGGCTTGCCTACCCCCATTTTTCACATATCCCAGTTATAAAGACATGGGCTTTCCACTTAGCCTGTGAAGAATTGAAGGGCTAATAATTGTTTAAAACCTAGGTTTGCAAGACTCACCCATTTAATGACAATATATAAGAGGGGACGGGCAGGAAAAAGAAGATGGTCTAAAAACAATACTGCAATGGAACACAAAATATAGAAAAAGGAAGTTATTTCTTAAGTCTAATAAAGAAAGTATATATAGCACTGCATCTGGGAAAGAAAAAAATACATCACATTTTTTGGTTCTGAGAGGAATTTATGAAATAGGATTTTATATAAAGGACACTAATATATTAAACATTGTTTTCAATACAAGTTTTAATAAAAGGCATAGAACAGCTTTCTTTATTTGATATTTCTTTCTTATATGGACCCTGATTTAAAAAAAAAAACACAAAAAAAACAATATAATGGTAAGTTACAAATACCTGCAAATTATATTGAATAAATCAAAATTAAACTTCACTGATATTCTCCACTCAGATATTTATATTTGTCTTTAGAATGGAGAGAGGGCAGAATGAATGGAGGAAAAGTTTTATATAAATTCGACGTGGAAGGTAGCAGATACTTGAACAACATAAATATTATATATAAAAGTTTCTTAAACTGACTCAACTAGCTTAATACATAAATTAAGGCTCCCAGCAACTTATTCAGCTGTTTTCCAACCACAAAGAATTCTTCCCACGATAGTCATTGGTGGTTTTCTCTGGGTAAGGAGTAAAGAGGAAGATTGTCCTCTGGGATTTTTTTTAGTATGTATCTCATTCCAAATAAAAAATAAAATAAAATAAGAAAGCTAAACACACACACACACACACACACACACACACACACACACACCTTTTCTTATAGCTATATTAGTGAGTTACTTACTTTAGTATGTATAGTGTTCAAATTATTTATGTCACTAACAAAGTGCATTTCATTAGTACAACTTTTCATATTTAGTTAACTTTGTGCTCAATTTTGTTTCATGAGAAATAATGATGAGTAACAAAGAAAAAAGAAACCACATGGCTGTGTCCAAGAAAGATAATAAATTAGAAGCTAAATTTGGTATGAAATAATCTTTGCAAAAATAAATATGCAACATCAGTATCTCATTTATCTTACTGGAAAAAATTATGAGCTCATCTTCTTATGTACAAAAGAGAAATGTCCAATATTCAATAGATTTTTTTCTGAGTGAGGACTTCCTTGAGAAACTTAATTTAGTTTAAATAACAGTTTAAATCATATATATATAGTTAAATTAATCTTTATATAGTTTAAATACAAAAATAGTTGTATTTCCAAGGAAATACAAAATATATTGTTCATGAGGCAGAATAACATAAATTTCCTTTGAGTTCTATAAATATTTATTAAAGATATATTTTTAGTGATAGAGTTAAATTAAGTTTAAGTACTTAGAAAAAGAAATTTCTGTTTCATAAATTAAGAATTTGATATTTGAATACTGTAAGTACATCTGAATTTCAGATAAATCAGTTTTTAATTTTTGCTATATACATCTTGTCAAAAGATATAGGTTTAAGAAAGATAATCTTATTTAAATACTAGAGGCCTAGTGCACAAAATCCATGCATGGGGGAGGGGGAAGGAGAAGGGTGTGTCCCTCAGCCCAGCCTGCATCATCTTTAATCTGGGACACCTCGAGGCCTGGGATTGGGCCTAAATGGGCGGTTGGGCATCCCTCTCACAATCCATGACTGCTGGCTCCCAACCGCTTGCCTGCTTGCCTGTCTGATTGCCCTAACAACGCGCTTCTGCCTGCCAGCCTGATCACCCCTTAATCATTACTCTACAAGCCTGATTGATGCCTAACTGCTCCCCTACTGGCCTGATTGCCCCTAACTGCCCTCCCCTGAGAGCCTAGTCACTCCTAATTTCCCTCGCCTGCTGGTCTGGTCACCCCTAACTGCCCTCCCTTGCCAGCCTGGTCACCCCTAACTGCCCTCCTCTGCCAGCCTACTCACCCCCAACTGCTCTCCCCTGCAAGCTTGGTTGCCCCTAACTGTCGTCCCCTGAAGATCTGGTCACCACCAACTGCCCTTCCCTGTTGGCCCGGTCAATCCTAACTGTCTTCCCTTGCCAACCTGGTTGCCCCTAACTACCCACCCTGCAGGCCAAATTGCCCCTAACTGCTCTCCCCTGTCAACCTGGTCACCCCTAATTTCCCTCCCATCCCAGCCTGGTCACCCCCAACTGCCCTCCCTTTCAGGTCTGGTCCCTCCCAACTACCCTCCCCTGCTGGCCTGATCATCCATAATTGCCCTCCCCTGATGGCCATCTTGTGGTGGCCATCTTGTGTCCACATGGGGTTGGCTATCTTTGACCACATGGGTGGCCATCTGGTCATTGGAGTGATGGTCAATTTACATATTACCTCTTTATTATATAGGATAATAATAATATTCATTTTACAGATGAGGAAACGAAAGACCTGGTATATCTATTATCAACCCAAGATAACATCATTAATAGGAACCAATGAAGAGATTTAAACCAAGCCTCCTCTTTAGGTCCAAAGCACATAGTACACCAGCAATGTTTATTCATATTTTATTGCCCATTTTTTCCATTCAACAATGCATATTCTATTGCC